GACGAGGAGGAAGACAAAGGTCGTATTAAGAGTGCCGAGACTGTCACTGTATCAAGAGGCCGTCCTGAAGTCGAAAAGGAGCTTCCGTTCAACAATCAGATCTAGCCTCGATGGAGCAAGGTAATCGACATCGGCAACAACTATCGCACCCTGTTCCACCTTGGTGCCGAGCTTCTCCAGATCCTCTCGGATCACATCACGGTCGCCATGTCAGCCAACCGCACGGTTAGCGAGGAGAATGATGTCGTACACATTTGGTGGGGATGACGGTAGGCTGGAAGACGAGACCGTGTATGTCTGTTGTGCCAAGCATTGGTTGTAGAAAGAACGTTGATACTGCTCGTGGCGGGGAAGTTGTGCGGGGTCGTCTGAGCCTGCAGGGGTTGGCGTTGACGTCGTACGAGGTAGAGCTTGGCACGTGTGAGAAAGAGGCGCTTTCCGCCACTTTTGGTCGTCGCCCGCGATTCGGTCGTATGTTCCAGTCTGTTGTAATGCGCCTTGGACCGACCAGTGCAGGACGATCGAGAGCACTGGTCGAATTGCGGCGCTCTTGGGCAAGACGATAAGCAGGTTCGTGTTTTTTCGCGGAGAAGTTGGGCAGACACCTTGGGAAGTTGAGCCTCAGGGCCAATGAACCCAATTATGGTGCAGTACGTACCACCTCCATCAACCAGGGACAGTTATTCTACTTCTTTCCGACAGCACCTCGCCTATCCAAGTGACCGCCTAAACGCAGTTCTTCCAGACAGGCCAACTTTCGAGATGCGGAGAATTGAGCGGGGACCGAACGTTCGCCGATGGGTGATGTTTATTGGGAGTTCGACGTGGCACATAACGAAGGCGCGACGACGCTGGTGATGGGTTGTAGCGCGTGAGTGACGCGGCTGTTGTTCAGTACATCCGACTTTCGTGACACCTTCTATGCCCTCTGCGCGCATAGACGCTGACTAAGATACCTCCGTTTGCCCCCGTGTCCGCGTCCAGCAAGTGGACCCTGGGTCCACTTCATGGGGCACCTCTGTCTTGCCACAAATCGCACTTGTTAGTGGGGGACATGTCATGCGTCCTGACCTCATATAAAAGCGTACCATCCGGAAAGACGGGTCCAGAAAACATCCCGCTGGAAACCAGTGCTTCCGCAGCCTTCCAGAAGCCGAGGGCAGGTGTTTCATGTAAGTCAAATCGGGAGCATCAGGCTGACTAGTATCCTGACTTTGCGGCATGTGATATCATGAAAATATAGTATTCTAGTCCAAATGTCTACATCTTCAGATAATGCACACCATTGTCTCCGGACCAAGGAAATGGTACTGTATTAGAGACCCCACTCCCCAGCGTGAGACTGCCGACCTCAGACTGACACTCTGGAACAGCAGGAGGAATATGTACGTCTTGAGCAGGGACTGCTTGCAACTTTTCGAGATGCTTCCCCCAGGCAATCTGTCTCTTGAGCTCCCATTCCTGCTGTCTCCGCAACCTGTCCTGATGATCCAGAGGACGAAAACAACAAGACCCTTCGAGAAGGGCAGCATGCAACACTTTCAGCTCAGCAATTGCAAGACATGAAGGATTCTCAGTGCAACCCCCTGGCCACCCCTCCAGAGTGACACCGTAGATGTCCTCCACATTCAGTCAGGAAATCTCTTCTTGTGCGCATTTCACTAGAAGCCATTTGACAACCAGCTCTCGAATCTGGGGCTGCATCCAGTGCCTTGACAAGTCATCCGGAGATGACCCGTGCCGGAGGATCATGAATTCCCCTTGGAACGCATGGTCTAGAATGGCAGACATTGTCAGCATGGGTTGGGAGGGTGTTACAAGAGGGGCTAGGTGGTTGTATTCCATCAGTGTGGTCCGGATAGAACTGCTGCGAGTCTGTAAAGCTTTTGCTATGGATGATCTCATTTTGTAGTCTAGAAAGTTTGAGGACAACGTCTTTTCTAGAAAACTCACTTACTGGTGCCTCTGGCGTCCATCTTTTCCATCTCAAAAAGTCTCTGAACCACAAGGCACTCCAGATGATAAGAGCCTTCTTAAACTCACGACTTTCTGCTGTGCTCGAGTAATGTTGCCAGGAAGGATGGTCAGGAGTCCAGCGATCAGTATTCATTGTTGTTTTGAGATTTGTGGGCAGTGTATAGAGATCATGAACCTTCCGGAGTCGCCAGAGATATTGATGCTGGTTGGCACATCCAGCGTTCTGGATATCACTGTTGCTCCAATCTTCCGGAGTGGAGATGATGAAAGGTTGCGATTCACTCACTGCAAGCTCTTCCCTGTCTCGAAATGAATACTCGCTTTTTCGTCAAGAAACCGGGCCCTACACACCATACTTTGTCCAGAAGCTTCAAGACATCCAGATATTCATATGCTTTCTCATCCACCATGGGCTCTCTCTCCAGACGTTCGAAGAACTCCTCCTCGTCCCTCTGGAACTTCAGCAGATCATCTGTCATCAAGTTGAGCATCTGGAGTAGTGCGGTGACGGTTGCTCCTTCAGTCCGGATAATCTTTAGGGCTTTTCGGTAGTTCTGGAAGAGATAGTCTCCTAGGGAGGTCATGAGAATGAAACAATGAAGTGGATCCCGAGAAACTTACCAAGGACTGTGTGATGGTCAGGATCCCATGTCTGGTAGAACCAATCGAGAGTTAAGTGCCGATGGAATGCAGACCCGTGCTGGAAAAGATGAGCACATTGGTTTTCTTGACTGAAGATCCATTCGCATGTCTCGAAATCTTCCAATCCAGCCGACGTCAAGAAGCAAGGATGATAGTGAATCTGGCATCTTCTGTTGTGAGCATACCCGTGAAATGCTTCGACAAAGAAGCGAAGTCTGGATTGTTTGGCCTTCTCCCCGATACTGCTCTGGAGCACAGTTACCAAGTGTGTACAACTGATGTCATACCCAAATGTGATATCAGGACCATACACATCGATTAATCAATCAAGAGAGGCAAGTGAGTACTTTGCTCTGGAAAGAATGTCATTATCATGATTCTTGAAAAGAAAAGAAAACTCACAATTCTCCACTCCAGATCATGTCAACGGAGAAACAAATGAAAGTGTGCCGACATACTGTCAAGAAATGGCCAGTTTCAGTGAGAGCTTGCTGGAAAGTCTGTCCAGTCTCCCTGGCCTGAGATGCTTTCCATTTCTCCGCGCAGGCCGCCAGACTCTCATCCAGATTGATCCTCCCTCCACGCTCCGGACAAAGACCATCGGTTGGGTCTGCCTGATGACGAGCACATCTATTGTCAGGACAGGGTGGGACATCATTCTTAAACTTGTCCACTTGCTCGATCAGGAGGATATAGTTGCTTTCGTAAGTCCGGAGGTCTTGATACCCAGCATAAGCGAAATGCTTGCTGGAATTGTTGCCATCACTGCAAAGTAGTCGGGAAAACGGAAGATGTGGCTTGTCCCAAAGCTTGTCTCACATCTGGTCAGAGTCGCACTCTACTGGCAATGTCTAGACCATACCTTGTAGTTGCAAGCTGGGCAAGAGTGCATCTAGCGCCAATCAGCATGATCTTGACCAAAAGCCTTCGCCAACCTTTTCTCGAGTGCAACGAGAAGCAATGCATACACATTGTATGCATCAGCAAACCATTTCCAGAATGATGTATTGTATGGGACCTGTCCAGAATGTTAGCAAGTTCGTTACGTGTCCAGAAACGGAAACATACATGATGAAGATCGCATAAGATGTGAGTCCATGCCTCAAGAGACATGTACCCTTGCAGGCATGCGCGATGGTACACCTCAAGGATCTGGATGTCGATGGCCATATGGGGAACCTCCGGACTGCAGGCAAGCAAGCCATGCCTTAGCAAGATCCAGACTGGGCTGGCCTGTTGATCCACTGCTCCGAAGACCTGTCTTGCGAGTCCCGACCAAGTGACAACTTGAAGCTCAAATGTTTGCTTTGCTTCAGGAGGCACATGCACCTCTCCTCCTCCAGATGATTGTACCCGCCAGTTCAGGAAGTCATCCACAAGGTCATCCATCAGGAATTGCCATGCTGTTGCTTGCTGTAGAATGCGATGAGCATATGTCCCTTCTCCAGATGTATATGTTTGGTGCCTATTTCAAGATTGAGATGTGAAAACATGTGTTATGCAATCCGGACATACATGACTTCCTCCCACTCCCGATACAATGTGTCCTCCTCTTCCTGAGCGACGGTGAGGGCAAGAGCGACGGTGAGGGCAAAAGCAATGGTGAGGGCGAGAGCAATGGTGAGGGCGCGCATCACCCAAGTACTCCTATAGTGCGTCGGGCCGGCGTTCAGGGTGGTCTCCTCCATTGAGGACGTGGAGTATGCGATACAGATGCGTTAGTCATAAAACATCTTACGCGAGCGACTTGTCCATGTCTGCCGCCTGTAGGTAATCCTGGGACAGATACTAGTAGAGCTTAACTCCAGACACACCAGAGAGCTCCCTGAATAACATCGAAGCTAAACGGGGATGGTGGGAACATATGGTGCCCACCCTGATTCGCTGCCCCGACGTCCTGTCCGCTCATGGCCGCACTTCTCCCAAACTTCTTTAGACCGTGGGAGAAGCACGATACCCGCGAAAGCAAGGGCTTTCGACAGCATACCTACAGGAAGAGGTTAGTGAGAGATCCGTCAAACCGTGATGTACATATATACCAGTCAATGTGTTCTCACAAAGGCATAGTGGATATGAGAGGAACGCTCAGAGATCAAACAACTGGTCTCGGCGCACGCAGCCAGGCGCACCACGCCCGGCATCTTGAAAGGATGACAACGGCCAACGTCCAGCCAACGCTTCTACAGACCAGGTCGGCATTTGGCAGCGTGGAATTCTTGCACCTCGTATATGCGACAGCCCTGTGATTGGGATTGGCAAGGCATTCAAGACAAGCCTATAAAGACGCACGAGTCTTGCGTGATCGGATTTGCCTCCTGAAAGTGCTATCAGCGACTGCAACTCTCTGAGGAGGGTGGCTCGTACCCCTTGCTCATGAACAAAATTGTGACAGGTGCCAGTGCTGCTGAAGTTGATATTATATTTCTCTCCGCTCCACCCATCAGGGCAAACAGAAAACGTACCCGAACAAAAATCGAAAAGAAGATGAAAAAGACCCGCCACAGCAGAAGTAGGTTCTTCATGGCTGACGACCACCCATAGACGTTGACCATCAATAGCCGGCTAAGGATCAAAATCAAGCGCACCACGGAGGTCTTGAAGATCTGATTGAGATGGACGTATTTCTCTGTAGTCTGAAGGCAGTACTGAGCAGGAAATGTTTCTGGAGTCGAAGTACACCGCGTTGAGGACGGCAGTAGAAAACTGCCACCAACAACATAGAACTTGTATGAAGAGGTCTTGAATGCTATAACAGTAATTATCTTACTATGATCCGATGAACGACCGGATTGCAACTTCGCCCTCAGCCGGTCGTCCGGTAGCTGCGGACTGGCCCTTTTCGACAAGCAAGCTCAATCCGCGAGCCTGGCAGGACTGTGTCAGTCTGGCCATCCTCACTCGTGCCTCCTCTGTCTCCGTCTCCCAACTCTCCCATCTCACTGTGAACACAAACTCGATTCTGTCACCTGCGTCCCGGGGGATTGTTTCGATGAAGCGACGAACAACATCTGGACCAACACCAGGCATAACATCCCACGCCTTCCATCGCCGAAGAATTGGAGGAGGATGCACCAGTGCGGCAGCACTAAACGCCGGCGCCCGTAGAGTTGTGCGAAGAAGTCGAAGTGCTGTGAACTCGCGCAACACTGGTTGGAACGCACGAGTAGGCGTACCAACAGGACGGGGCTTGAATGTACCTGCAAGACGCAGGGAGCGTAATGTTTTCTTGACACATTTCAGGGCGTTGACGATTCCCGCTTGGGTTAGCGAGTCCGTGTAGTTCAGATCGAGGTGTCTGAGCCTGTGTTGATCGCAAAGGATATGATACAGCTCCTCATTGGTTATACTGACACTTTCTAGAGCCAGTGATGTCAAGCGCATCCACTGGGGAATAGGTGTGGATGTGACGGAAGATGACAGGATCGGTCCGAGCCAGATGTTCTGCAGGTTGGGCAGAATCTCGCGCAGGCGTTGTATGTGTTCTATGCGAAACAAAACATCCATATCGACTTCTCCGCTCTTCTGAGCAGGAAAAAAGGTGCGAGCCCATTCGATCTTCTTCAGGCGGGGAAGCGCAGACATGCATCCCAAGATCGCATCGAAATCTGCTTCGTCCATACCGAGGGGAGAGTGAATCGACAGACGCTGGACTCGAGGCACAAGTGGGATACCATCCAATATAACTCGAGTGGTCGTTGGTTTCGTGAGGTTGTCCCATATCCATTCTGCGGGTTCGAATATCAGATTGGAAACTGACGGACCGCCGAGTGTTAATCCTCTCGTGACGACTTCAGCCCAAGGTAGACAGTCATTTGGCACGCGGATCGTATGATAAAGCTGTCTCAGAGCAGGCAATCGCCACGCCTTGCAAACCAGAGCAGACCGAAGGAGAGTAGCGGTGTCGATGATCCTCCATCCGTGTCGACGTCTAAGGGGTTCGACCAGAGAAAAGATATGTTCCCAAACCTCTGGCGGAACTCGATATAAAGCGGATGTCGGCATATCGCAGCAGCTGTAATATGGTGTAGGATCATCCTCCAGTTGTGTTTTTCAACATATACCAACGTTTCGCACCTGTCTGTGTCAGAGTAGTTCCAAGGAGAACAAGAACTCATCACTCCGACGAGCTCAAGATTGCGCTATTGGAAAGAGACGGGAGATCGAGTAGAGAGCAGAGGGTGTTGGGAAAGCTTGGTCTCACCGCCTACGTGTGTGGCCTTGTGTTATCAATGCGACTAGCACATTCCCACAATCAAGAAAGCGACGGAAATGAGAAGAAGCAGGAGGACCGGGAAAGAGACCACAGTTCGGGAAGCTCCCGTGCCATTCTCCCGAATATGATTCCGTAAGGGCAGGACAAGAATCTCCGAAGACGAATGGTTGTAAGCCCAAGAAGTGTAGAGCGACTCAACCCTAACTTCAGCCAGCAACAAATCACTGGAAGGAAGCGCTTGACGATATTAGCGCTTGAGTAACTGCCAGGCGCTCATTCGTGGGACTGGCTGGACTTGGGTGCTGACGTAATAGTGCTTACCTTTCCATCAGATGTCCGCAGTCACAACAACACCTTAATAACGTAGGTCAAAAGTCGATTTAACTTACCTGTCGACATTCATGGAGGAACTTCTTGGAGTGTGCATAACTGCCGGTGCGAATCTGTGCGCATTTATCTTGCAAGACTGGGCGACAACCATGGTGGATCCCATCTGCGGTCTGTGCTCCACCCTCTGCGGTGGGGTGTGCAGTGCAATTCTGCAAGACTGCACCGTGTACCGTACGGGAAGTCCCATCCGATCAAAGTCACCGAACTCAGATCAAATAACAGGTCATGCATGCACCGAGTCGCTCTGCTGCTGCCTCATGTGCGAAGGATCGGCGAACTCGTGGGACACCGACAGAGGAGCACCTGGTGAACGCGAACCGTTGCTCGATGCCAGATTGGAGCAGCGTCATGTCGTTTCACAACAGCCACTGCCGAAGCCAGCAATATTGCCCACGAGTCTCCCACCAAGACCTGCGGTGCCCGAATGACCATGGGATGTGAACAACAATCTGCCACATGCGGGATCCCAAAAGGCCAGCTCAGATGTACAACCTATATATCTATACGCCTTGTAGTCTACAGAGGCTCGACGAAGCGTGCGGGATGGAGGTGGGGCGGATGGAGCCTTTCTTGTCCTGTAAATAGCTGTTTTACTAGCTCTTCTGGCCAATCTTCTTCTTGTACGCCTCCACCATATCTTTCTGGATGTTCGGCATGACCGGCAGGTGCGTCTTGTACTCCATTGAGAATTCACCTAAAAGACAGTCAATCGCTAAAAAAAGATGAATCTGGAAGAGCATTAACACTCACCTTTGCCTTGAGTCATGCCCCGAAGCTGGCCGGAATAGCCGAACATGTCGCTCAAGGGAATATCACACGACACAGTGAATTCGTCTTCCCGTACATCGGTGTCCACGATCGTGGCTTTCCGCTGATTTAGACCGGCAATGACCGCACCCTGGAACTCCACCGGTGCGACGATCTCCACAGTCATAATAGGTTCCATGACAACTGGCTCTGCTTGCTTGAATGCCTCTCGGAATGCGCCGAGAGCCGTTAGGCGGAAAGCAAGTTCGGAGGAATCAACGATATGGGCAAGACCGTCCTCCAGCACAAACTTGATGCTAGTGCACGGTGCTCCAATGAGCGTGCCCCGCGACATGCCGTCTAGGAAACCCTTCTCTACAGCAGGGATATACTGTTCTGGAACTGTACCACCACGCACGTTGTCCACGAACTCGTGGTCCTTCCCGGACTGTGGATCGAATGGAAAGGGCTCAAGGTAGCCGATGACACGACCGAACTGACCGGCACCCCCCGTCTGTTTCTTGTGCGTGTAGCTGAAGTTTGCCTATGTTACGCGTGAGGTTGAATTAAGAGCCTGTTCTTTAAAGACGAACCCGCTTTGTGATTGTCTCACGATACGCGACACGAGGCTTTCCAGTGGTACATGGAGTGTTGTATTCGCGTTTCATCCGCTCAACATAGATCTCCAGATGCAGTTCACCCATCCCCGAGATGATGGTCTCCTTAGACTCGTTGTCGATGTGCACCCGGAAAGTTGGGTCTTCTCTCGTAAAGCGATTCAAAGCACGAGAGAAGTTGGGGGTCTCTTGTCCAACTGTTTTGATGGCCAGAGAGACCACTGGCTCGGGAACAAACATGGATGTCTAACCAAATTGTCAGCCGCACTGAAAATAAACGACAACAAACCGCGCACCATTGAGTACTGAGTCGTACCATCGGTGAAAGTATCTCCAGATGCGCAATCTACACCGAAGATAGCGCAGATTTCGCCTGGCCCAATCTCCTCGATATCCTGGTTGCTCATGAAAAGATAGCTTCCCAGAAGAATTTTGTATACACACCTCCATGTCGTTGCTATGCATGCGCACCAATCTCGGAACCTTGACCTTCTTGCCCGTTCTAACATTCCAAATAATCTGGCCTTTTTTCAAGCTCCCCTGGTACATGCGAATGTATGTGAGCTGGCCGAAACGCCCTTCCTCGAGCTTGAACGCCAGTGCTACCATAGGTGCCTTCGCCGCGGGGATCAGAGGGACCTCTTTAGAGCTGAAACCCTCGCTTTCACGTTCGGTGTCAATAGCGGTGACCGGCGCCTCGTTTGGCGTAGGCAGGTACTCGCACACTCCGTCTAAAAGGGGCTGTATACCGGTGTTCTTGATCGCGGAGCCAACAAACACAGGTGTGAACTTGCACGTGATGGTCGCCCGCCGGATGGCAGCCACTAGCGTGGGGAGCGGGACCTCAGCCTCGGACAAGAAAAGGTCCGCGATCTCGTCGTCTACTTCAGCAAGCTGCTCGATCAGCTCGTGTCTTTTCTCGTGCGCGAGGTCGACCAGATCGGCGGGGATCTCATCCGATTCAACGATACTGATACTGGAATGGGGTTCGTCATCTGCACCTGACATAGGACAGAGAAGAACGCACCCTTTAGAACCCTCATTGTATATAGCTTTCATCCGAACAAGATCGACCACACCCTTGAATTCATCTTCCACTCCTATCGGGATCTGTACAGCAGCTCCCGCCAATCGCAGCTTTGTCCTAATTTGGTGAATAATCCGGAAGGGGTTTGCGCCAGCCCTGTGCATGTGTTAAGTATTTGAAACTAGTTCGAATTCTAACCCCGCACCGATCCATCTTGTTCACAAAGGAAATGCGAGGAACATTGTATCGCTTCATCTGCCGGTCTACCGTGATTGTCTGACTTTGTACGCCTGCCACTGCACAGAGCACCAGGATTGCGCCGTCGAGGACACGAAGTGCCCTTTCCACTTCGATAGTGAAGTCCACATGGCCTGTCCCACAGTGAGGATAAGAGCTGCGCAGAACGAGTAGGCATACGAACCGGGGGTATCAATGATGTTGATACTGTAGCTCTGGGCTGGTCCTCCAGTTGCCGGTGTGGCCTCCCAATCGCAGTACGTTGCTGCAGACTGGATGGTAATTCCCTTCTCTCTCTCAAGGTCCATCGAGTCCATCTTGGCTCCCACTTGATCCTTTCCTCTGACCTCATGAATCTCTCGTATACGACCTGTGTAAAAGAGCACCCGCTCGGTCAAGGTCGTCTTGCCTGAATCAATATGAGCTGAGACGCCGATATTCCGTTGTCGTGTAAGGCGGTCAATGTCACTCTTCTCCAGCCCAGGAATATTGACTTCCGCAAGCGAAGATTCGCTACGGTTTGCTGGCTTTGTGGCGGCGGCGGTGGATGCATACCGAGCATGAGAGGGAGGGAGTCGTTGTCGGGTGATACGGAGTGCAGACAGATAGAGAAAAGAATGCTTAGGATGAGCGATGCGTGCTGCATTGCCTGCACATGAGCAGGAGAGAGAGAGCATCTCGGGCAGAGATGAACAGGCGCTGGGAGGCCCTGATCTCGACAATAATGCAGCACACTTTTGCTAGGGTTCGGGAATTTTTGGAAAACCGCATTATTTAAATAATCCTCTTCTCTGATTAGTTGAACTTCCCAGACACGTGACTAGGGTCTGAGGGCCTCGTCGTGCGTTCTCGCCGCCACCGACCCTAGGACTATCCTGGCACTCTCGTTGCTGTCTGAGGGAATCATGCACGGCTTCTATACCCCAAATCACATGGAAAGCAAGTCGTTACCATCTTGGATTACTGCGGATATGTCTCATCTTGCTGAGGCCTCAGAATCCCCTCGCAGAGGGCGACAAAGGCGTGGTAGGGCCCGGACCAACCAAAACGGCAACAGGAACCTCAATGGGAATGGTGGTCTTGTGAACACTCCCCCAATGTTCTTGTCGGACGATGGGATGAGTGATCGCGAAGCCGGAAAGGAAGACGGTATGACCAAAGTGCTGGAGGCTCGGCAGCGCGAGAAGGAGGACCTCCGCGTCCGGATGGAGATGTACCAGGCAAAGCGTCGACAGGAGATGGAGGGCAGGGAAAAGCGCGAGGCAGAGGAGTTACAGAACAAGATTTCAGCGGAAGAAGCAGACCCAGTCCTACGGAAAATGCGTAATCAGGCGAATACCGCGCATAACGAGTGGGAGCACAAACTGCTTCAGATGCCTGCGAACCAGGCCTGGACAGAAGTAAGCCTTTGCCCTTTCTCGTTGCCGAAGCTTTTGAACGGTGCTAGGTCAAAGACACGGAGGCCGAGCGGGTTTCCCAGTGGCAGAAGCTCAAGCTAATGGGCGGTGTGGAATACCGCCCAACACGCGGCCTTTGTGAGCACATGTGCTCGGCCAGCGAAGTTGTGGAACGCATTTCTACAACGGATGTTATGGCACCAGAGAGAGTCTGTCGTATGTTCACGCATCCAGCTTCACACATTCTGACCCTGTCTAGGATCCCATTACCGGCCGACCTGACCCTGCACGCTTTGTCAAGCGCTACAAACGCGTAGAACCAGTCATCATCCCGACTGACGTGCGAACTCCATCAGCCTTAATGGTACGGACATTTACATGCACCAGAGTACCTCTTAGCGTTGATGTTTATGGCAGAACACTTCCAGTTATCTCTTTGACGTGCTGCTTGATCGAGTGGGTTACGGTGACGTGTACGGTTTTGTGGAGGACCGGGCACGTGCCATCATGAAGGATTATTCTGTTCAACGTATCACCGATGTTTCCGCTATGGCCGTTCATGAGAGGATAGCACGGTATGTGGGGCAGAGGGAAGGTAGGTCGAGTCGCTGACGAGGGCCAGATTTTACGCCTACAGCGCGTACACCATGTACGAAACGTATCAACCTAACCCTCCGAAGCAAGTTGGCGAAACCTTCAAACTTGCGGTGCCGGCACAAGGATACAATCCAATCCTTAACAAGCAACAACTGGATAAAGGTCTCACTGTTCTTTTCCCTAACTGTGATTGTCGATAATCTGACACATCCTGTAGATCTCCTCACATTGAAGAATCTATATATGGATAACCACAAAGTGCAAGGCGTGGAGCGGCGGAAAAATCTATTCGCCGACCTGTTCGACCACGAAGCCGAGATGACAGCATACCGCCTCATATCTGACTACGTTGAATACCGCTTCGATTTCCGGAAGTACGCTGTGATGAAACGCGACTGGGAACAAGCCCAAGTTTCATCTGCTGTAGTTGACTATAGCACCATGCCTCGGGACCCTGGGCCACCCCACCTCCGATGGGACTACGCAGCACGCATGACACCCTGCATGTTTATGGCGAGCGATCTGATTGAATGTGCCAAGGGCGGCGAAGTGGCTGCCCCACCTCCGGTAACAGAATGCCGGTACAGGCAGATTGCTCCAGAAGTTCGGTTCTTTGACCTCATGATGCTCCCGACGACGCCACCCCTCTTTACTGCTCTGTTCATGGAGGAATTTGGCTGGATCCGGGTCCAGGCGATCGAGAAGCTGGTTGGTGGTAAACCAGGTTATGTGAAAGCGTCGACGTTGGAAGACTTGTTGAAGTTCGATTCGGAAGAACAGGTCACGGAGTTAGCCTCAGCATGCGGGTTGATGGCTATAAAAGGCCCTGATGGGAATACACGAGTAGGTTGGAGACGGGGAGATGTTCTGAATTGCGAGTCGCGTCGTCCTAGATGTTGTTCTAGCTGCTGATATGTGTGGTTGAATTAGTTGTGGATCCCGTTCTCCCGCGTCAACCTGCGACGCTTATCTGGCACGGCAAATTCCCGGAGAACATACCGGCTTCTCGAATCACCCTCGATACTGGGGTTGACCTTCACAGCTGGGACTACTATCCGCAGCTCTCATTGCAGCCATATTTTGAAGTAATCGAGCCGTACCTGGCTGCGAGCGACAACAGATGGACACCTCGTCATATCAGTCAGATGGATGTCACGGCGCAGAACGAGGGTGATGGCGATGAAGTCTATGAGATGGAGGACGATGGGCAAGACATGGATGGAGAAGAAGGCGCTGAAGTGTATGAAGGGGAGGACGGAGACGGAGACGGAGACGAAGAGGCAAGAGAGGCCGAAGGCGAGAACGAGGATGAAGAACCTGGCAATTATGAAGATGAAGATCACGGCGAATATCAAGCGCAGAGCGAAGAAGACCAAGCACATCAAGCTCCGCCAACGATATCAGTTCCTTCCCTCTTGGCGCGACTCGGTGGAAAGGTTACCAACGCAACTTTGCTGGCACCTCCGCCACTCAATCCGAGCGCTGCGCCATTCGTTCCGTCGACACTTGAGGCGCACAAGCCTGCTTCTGAACATATTCCGATGTTCGGCAGTCTTTTCTCCGGCTCGACTTATGCGGCCCCACGTGAGCATCTCTCACCCTTCTCGCAATTGCCTGGAGCCGTACAACCCAAACTGGAAACTAATTCAATCAGCTTCGGTTCCAATGTCTCTGGCGCTCTAAATGCTGCTCCAGCCCCTGGTCAGGTTGCTCACGCATCAACCGATCCCGGTGATGCAGCCAGCAAGCAGGCCTTGTTTACCGCCACGTTTGGTAGTCTTTTCCGCCCGAAACCTGCCACTGACACAACTCCGATCGCCCCGCCTTCTAGTTTTCCACCGTCCGCCCCATTATTTCCTCCGCCAGCACCTTCCCCTTCTGTGCTGCCAGACCTAACTCAAATGCCATCAACAGGGATGGTAGCACAGCAAGCAGCACCTACGTCTAGCTTTGAACAATCCGTGTCGTATCATCCTGCTCCTTTTGCGACAAGTACTGTACCGGCACCGTCATCTGCACCAGCACCAGTCCTACAATTTCCTGCTCCCACCAACGGTTTCATGTCTTTCTCAGGACTCCGCCCTTTTGGTTTTCCGCCCGTCGCTCCCCAGCAACAGGGGGATGACTCCATCAACGGAGTGTTTCGCCAATTACGTTCCAACGTTGTTCCTCTCTCAGCACCATTGCCCGAAGAGAAAACGCCGGCACCCCTGCTCTCGACCAGACTTGCTCTTGATCCTTTGCTCCCAATACCGAGCGCACCACAAGAAGTCGTAGCAGAACCAGACGTCTCGTTGTACATGCCGACAGCTCTCAAATCGGAAGCATCCTCCTTGGCGGCGCCGTCCTCAGTGGAACCTTCACCAGCAGCACCCTTAGCAGTGACGCTCTCGCCGGTGAGCCAGGCCGCCCTTCCTCAGATAACAGTGTCAGTCCCAGAGCCTTCGCCGTCCGTCAATCCAGTGCATTCATCAACTGATTCTGCACAACACGCATTGAACACTCCTGAAACTATATATTCGGGTCAGGGTCACCTTTCTAACTCAGCGGAGGTCGCGATCGCACCTGTTGAAAGAGATCAATTCCGTGCTCCAGCCGATTCAACCATCCAGCTTTCGCCTCCGACGCCTATTGACTTGCTCGATGCAGATCAAGATCAAATTACCTCCCGCTCGGAGCGAAGACGCGATTCACGAGGAGTAAAGATTCAGCGGATATCGCTCGATGAAGCCGTTCAAATGGGCCTGGGCAATCCCGCACTCAATGGAGGATTCACTGCGAGCACTGTTAGAATGCTTCCGAAATTCAATGATCGAGAGGAAGCAGACAAGCGAAGAAAGGTACGAATGAGCAACCAAACAAGTTGTTGAAATTAATGCTTGAGGTAGGCCGACGAGGCGGCGAAAGCCTTTGGCACGCCAGACACCATGCATGAATTGCTCCAACAGCGCCTACACCGGCTTAGGCGGCGTGCCAACCGAGACGACCCAATCCGAGGCTTTCAGACTTGGGTTGTACCCTCTCACGCCAGCTCTCAGCATGCTGCCTGGTTGGCTTCCAAATTTCACGTTCATTTGCCTTCCAGCACACAGAGTGGTATGCGTTTCCTGACAGGGTATGTTGAGAGACCGAGTGAGGGACTGGTACGTAAGCGCGATTGGGACATATGGCCGATATTTGAAACCGTTGCAGGTGCCACCTAGTCCTGGATTGATAATCTTTGAGTGTTCTTCGAATATTATGCCGGATAACTTCAGGTGGGCATTCCGCAGTAATGTCTTGATCATCGACTGATAAACTCCTCCCAGCTCTTCCGCCTGCCAGGCAGATAAGCAACGGCTCTTGGAGTTTCTACATGCTATTCCCGACATTCAATCCTATCGTGCAAGCCTACTGATTATCGTTCATGGTGATTTCTTTTCTGGATCTACTGCATTGGTACGTGCTGCCATCTTGTGATAGGGCCCCAGTAACAAGTGTCAGATATGTCGCAACCTTGGACTCGATACCTTACCACCTTCAGTACAAGACGCACGTGTTGTTACCCTGAAGAATGAAAGCGTATGGGTTCCGGAAATAGAGGATAGTCTCATGTCCCTGCAGTTCGACGTATTCGGCCTGCCCATTGAAGGAACCTCTCCTCGAGGTGCGCCATCTCTGCTAGTGTGGTGTTGCTTGCATACTGATATTAACGTAGACTGTATGGATCACCTGATCATGCTGTGGGGTCAGAAGCTCTGGGACGCCCTTCCGGAACTACCTGGAACGCCCATCATCCAACCAATGTTCCAAGCCTTCATATCTGGAATCGATGTTGCGTCTTCTCAGCTCTGGAAAATGAGTGTTCAGGCAGACTCGCCATGCCCTCTCTCCTTGCCTTCGTTTGCACATCGACGCACCTCAACGTGGAAACAGGCAATCGAGGCTGTGGGGGAATATCTGCAGCAACCCGTCTTTGGTCATGGTTACGCGATCTCTCAGGCCCGTCAATTTTTGCACCAGCTCGCCGGCCAAGTTGCGAAGGCCCCGAAAACATACGGGATAGAGGTCTTTCCAATCTTTGAGCACATTGGTAATCATGTCGCTGGTATGATCATCGCAGATTCTTCTCGGGTCACATTTCGAGACGAGTTCCTTGGACGTGATTTACTTCCTGCTCTCCAAAAGAACGTTCGCTCGAACTGGGCTGCAGTGATTGCGGATTTCAACATTGCTTATCAGAGCCTACCTCAATGTTCTTCCCCCTTGTTATCAACCAAGAGAGAACGAGGGGATGATCCCTTGGTAGGGGAGGACATGAAGTGCGTGATATCTTGATAATCCAGATAGGTGTCTGACGTGAAACTAGGATGAGTCCGCCGAAACGAACAAAAATTGGTCAAAACAATGTCTCAGTTGTCAACGGTGCATTGTCTGCACCGAGAACTACGTCGACCCGTCCCAAGAAGGGTACCCTCCATTCTCTTCGGGCACGCATTAAGCTTGCAAATGCCTTGGCTGCTGGAGAAACGGACGGACACTAGTAGTTAGTTTGTGATATTTCTCCATGTGCACTTCAGACGTTTCTCGCATTGTACTATCTGTCACAGCCAAGCCTGCCACTGTATTTTATACAATAGTCTCGTAGCTATATTCACCTGTAATTCCATCGAAGCTAGAATGGAGGCTTCGAGTACTCTGAGACCCTCTACGATAGGAAACCCTCTACGATAGAAAGGCCGCGTGATCCTCGGAAGTACTGACTTATGGGAGTCATGGTCGCCTCCTGTCTGACTTGTCCCCGTGCACAGAGTCTGAGGCGCTCTATCACTCGAGTTCCTATCACCGTCTTGTATTCATCGCTTCTCTTTCTTGTACTACCATCCACATAACTGTTCTGTGAATTACTCTTATCTGATTCGTTCTTCTCCATTCTCCAAGTCGCTTTCTTTCATCCCTCAACCGCTTCGCCTGGTCATAGATGGCGTTCCACCACGCACGGAGTCATCCCCCCTTTCCCCAGCCTCCAGCCGCAGCACCCTCCCCGGTCACACCAGCCTACTGGGCTGACCGAATTAGGTCGACGATGAGAAGCACCATCGGATTGGCAACTCCCCCGGAGCCGCGCTCAAGAAACGCTTGGTCGTTCCCCTCGCCTGACTCCTTCGGAAGCAGGCGATACGATTGGGAACAGCCATTCAATCCCTCTGAAAGCCAAGCATTGGATCGGCCCGGCATTGCAGAGGTATCCAACCCACCATTCCACCCTGGCATTCGATTGCACACGCTCCCTCCATATCCGCCGCAGTCAGTGTTTGAGCTCGTTCCTACCCATGGAAAGACGGTGTTCATACTGGGACGGAATCCTAGTGAACGAGATGCGGAACGAAGCAGATCGAATGGAGGCTCTGACAACAGTGATGGAGATGCCGAGATTGTGACCATGCATTCCAGAGTCGTCAGCAAGAAGCACGCTCGTATCGAGTTCACTGAGGATGAGGTGACCAAACCCTTCCCTTCCTCCAAGATTTGTTCTATAACTCATATTCTACAACAGGTATACATTACAGACCTTGAATCAACCCATGGCACCTGGGTTCTTCGAGATGGCAGCACTGATCACTTTCTTGGCAATGACGTTCCTTTTGCGCTGAAGGACAGAGACGAAATCCGGATCGGCCGACGAGTACACGGTTACCCGGCGGTTCATCTTGTCGTCGAGATGCTCGGGAACCATCCACGCATTGCATCTATCGCATCAGGTAGGCTGAGCAAGCCTTTGACTCCTAATAACGGGACTCCTTTGACCCCGCCGGCAACCAGGCGTAGAAGCACGTGCGTCTACTGAGTCACATCTCATGTTTAGTGACACTGACTGATTTGTGCAGAAACTCGTTCCGTGCGCCCGACTTCTCTGACATGGACCTCTCCTCTCGTTCCACTTCTCCTTCTCCTGCTTCCACTCCCGTTCCTTCATTTGCTCCTGGTCTTCGGTCGCCTATCATTCTCGACCACGCATTACCACCACTCGCGAACGAGACTCATTCTTCAATACAGAACGCTCCTAGTCTCATGGCATTTGCAGACACCGTTAGGGACGAGCTGCAGGGTTCTCTTTTACCGTCCAATGAAGCCCTCAGAGAACCAATAAATGGACCACTCGATGAGGATGAAGTGCCGGCCATTCCGCATCGAGATCCACGTCCATACGAATATGTCATGAATTCCTCCGTCTTGAACAGACTCGCTGTAGACGAGACCCAGCTTCCGTCCCCTCCTATTGCGATTGGAGCGCAGCCTGCGGTGGCTTCAGTAGAGGAACTTTCGGCTGAAGTTCTTCCTCTCATTAACGAGCTCGAGTCAATGCTACCTTCCGAGCCCGGCCCTACCGTTCCTTCCTGTCAATCCATGTCCACACCACACTCCCCAGCACCCGACGCAAGTCACGTGCATAGTCCCACCATCCTTGTTCCGGAGACTGCCATTGAGTTGCGGACCTTGAGCCAGTTCGAAGAACATTCTGGGCATGATCAATTCTTGGACAATGTGGAAATCACTACAGAAAGCATTCGAGCACCTCTTGCGTCCGAAATTCCCCCAACAGTTCTGGAACCAATCAACTCTGCCAGCGCGTCGAACAAGAGTTTCACTCGACTTCTCACGGATAATGCATCGCAATCCGTTGCAACAAACTCGGTCGAGGTACTAGACGATCCCTTAACTATGTCATCGGATGCCTACGTTCGAAGGCAATTGGTGAGCGGGACCGAGCATCACGGTAATCGGGAAGGTACTCGCGACCGTGACATGGATGGACGCGTGCGGGAATTATCCACCCTTCTCAATGAGCTTCGTGAACAGACGGCTCAAAATATCGAGACTAAGGATAAATGGAAGAAAGTGGATGGGATTATGCGCGAATTACGTCATGGTCAGTACCCGAACTCCCTGTCTTTTGGTGAGTTCTCACATGGACTTACGCTTTCTGACGATCATCGGCTTCCGGCAGTTGGGATTAGCGACGGGACGTTTGACAAGAGTCGTAAGCGCAAGAGACTGGACGAGAATAACCTGGCAGACAATCAGGATGAGAATGATCGACAAGGGATCGAACCTGAGGCCCGCTCTTCCCAAGGGATGGTGACGAACACAAAGGCCGCGAAAGATGCCGTAGGCGACACTCGTCCTGCCAAGCGGCGTCGATCCTTCGCCCCATCCAGCACCGCTCTAGCCTTCGTTGCTGGTGGTGCAGCGGTCTGGATCGCGCTTGGCGTGGATTATGGGATATAAGCAGGTGCAAGACTGGCCGTGTACAATTGCAATTTCTGCTTGACATCGCATTTCCGTTGTATATGAAGCAAACCTGTGGCGTCGAGATATATATGAGGGAGGTTACAATGATAGCTACCTCTTATTCTTCATCGCAAATGACAGCTGTAGTGACTCAGCACATCTACAGAAATGTTAAAGGCTTGTTGTATTCCATGTTTAAAAAAAGCAAAGCAATTCCCGTCTTTTGAGATCAGGTTGGTTACAATACATAGGGCACATTGCAAGGGTATAAGTAAATGAGAAAGCGATTGACAAAAGACCCGGAGTAGAAGAAAACGAACCGCAAAGAGATTCTAGCTTCAAACGCCGTCGTCAACAACAGGTGGCGTCAACGGTGACATGGACCTGGGAGGGCGGACAATAGAGGAAGACAGGTTATTGCTCGTGCCATCCGAGATATTCGCTATCTCGACAGCGTGAACTGTGGTTGGCGAGTCAGACCCCAGTGGAACACCTCGCTTGCGCTTAGGTTCTAGGCCCTTCTCGGCAACACTCCGTGTATCTCTCTCTACCCTCTCGACAGACGACCGTCCAGGACTCCTAGACTGCATGTGCTCCTTGCGGCCGTAACGCGAATCCGAATAATATGGTGGATAGGGGTAAGGATACGGATACGGAACGGGCGGATATGGTGCATAGTATGGAGCAGCATATTGTTGATGCCACTGGCGGTGATAAGTATACGGATCATACGGGTAGGGATAGTTGGAGTAACCCTTCGCCTGACCGCCGGGTCTGCGCGAGGGACCGGCTCCTCGAGAATAATAATACGGCGAGACCTCCGACCCTTGTTCGTCATCCTCTGGGGAGGGTGCAGAAGAGTCGGATTGGCGACGAAAGTAGGGGTGATAGCGCGGATAAGGAGTAGGTAAAAGGGGAGGAAGTCTGGAAGCATCTTCCTGGTCGCCCTCAAAACCTGTTTCGCAAATTCAATCATTGCACAGAATCGTGTGTTAGTGCGCACCGAAATTATGCTCTCTGGCTCTCTCCTCTGCACGAATATGAGGGTGGTCTTTCGGCCTTCCGGCACGAGATTTGTCAATGTCGTCTGCCTCGGCTCTATTGCAGATTCAGTACTAATATGTGTCAACTTATCAACCAGGCTTACATATATCGTATGACCCCCTCTTCCGTCTTCATCGTCTTGGGAGGGAAGTTGAGCACATCAAGATTGTCCATGTAGATTGACGACGGCTGGAGGCGCCTGACTTCTGGGATATCAGACACTCTGATGAGGCGACCGTTGATTATGTCTTCGAGCGTGTAATATGAAACGATATGGTGCGAAACCACACCCTTGACGCAGAAAGAAATTGTCTAAGACAGGTTAACATTGAATCAAGGCGGTCGACTGAACGTGGAAATCCATACTTTCTTTATCAGGCCTCCAACTTTAAAAGGATAGCTACTTCGCAAGCTTCCAACGAGTGCCTTCTCGAGGATTCTATCCTGTTCGAAAGAGTTTCTCACTTCATCCGAATAGCAGCATTGTTCGTCGATGGGTTCTGGGCCAGAATCATCCTTTGGTGTGGAAGCTTTGGATTTTGTCGGTGAATTGGGTGAACGACTCAGGACTTCGCGGTAAAGCTGCCCATACAAATAGGGTCATTCAGCCATTATATCTGCGGCGACCGCAAACGAACTTACGAAGAAATTGTTGAGAGCTCTGCTCGGACTCCAGGTATATCCATCGGTCCATCGCTTTATTCCGCTTTCGCGTTCATCGTAGACGAAGATTGTGCCGCTCCCGATGAGTGCACGTTCGTTCGCCGAGAGACGGCGAGTTATCCGCGGAATAATACCTCGGGACGCGGCTTCATATACAAGGAGAGCATCGTAGGTAGTGTCTATCCATCCCGAGTACGGACCATAAGACCTCAGGTCGGTCCCGTCGGACTGAGCTGGGGTTTGTGATGGCATGAACGGGCAAGCGCAGGCGCGGCTGGTAGTGAAAGAACGGAAGGAAGATGTGTAAGGTTAAGGTCGGCGGAATTCTCCTCACATGGGCCCTGAGAGTTTTCTTCCGTGTCGCTCGCAAGCTAATCCTGAAATGTGTTTCTTTGTGTGAGTTCGCCATGTAAGACCGTGGCTCCAAAGGCATGCTCACTTCGTCTCAGGGAGTTGGCCAGAGAAAAGCGTACGAATGGAATTAAGTTCATCAATGGGCGACCCGAAAAGTTCCGGCCGTCGAAACGTTTAAGGTTTGGCAAAGTCAAAGTTTATCAATGACCAAGTTTATTAATTTCCTAATGGGGAAATTTCGGCTTGGCGTCAAACCTGCCTTCCTGATTTGGTACGGCATCCCCACCAAACCCAATTCGTCCATCACCAACCCCTTGTCAAGGAACATGGGCTATGACAGCAGCGTCAAAATCATTCGTATGTAGCATTTAGCAGATGTAATAGGAGCGGTTGAGGGGCATATAGCATGTGTATGAGATCATTTTTTGTCGACCCTCTCATGCTCCCAAACCCGTATTCGACGCAAAATGCGGGAAAGTTCCGTATCACCATATCACATTACATCTTTGACCGCCCTCTTGGGGGTAGCCCCACATTCGAAGAATTGGTCAGGCAGCAGGACGTATACGGAATGAAAACGGGGACTCTGAATCAAATTACTTGCGGCCATACGGATTGGGTGGATGGCTTATCAGAAACCCTCATCCAAGAAGGCTTCATCGTTCCCAACCATGCCGGCCATTCCAGTGACCTTCTCCAAGACTGACGCAGCCGTGGCACCAGCCGGCTCCGTCTCAACGAACACGTTTACGACCGTTCCACTCGGATTGGCGGCCGCAATACTGGAGCTGGTGGCTGCGGGCAACAGGGGTTTGATGGCGCCGGCGAGTTCGCGGGGGTGAATGCCGAGCTCATCAGCCAAATTGCGTATCTGAGCTTCAAGGCTGAGTCCGCTGGTTCCGGGAGGGGAGTTCGTTGAGATGAGGGGCTCGTTCGGATGCTTGTCGAAGAGCAGGTTGATCCATCCGCCAGCCTGGGTTTTCCACGTCGTCAGGCGATAGGCGTAGAATAGGGAGATGACGAGTGTGATAAAGGCAAGCGCGTAAATGAACATATCGAAAGAGATTTTTGAGCCGGGGGGCTTAACCCGGGCGATGGGCTGACTCTTTCTGCCCGTCATGAGCAAAGTCAGCAAGCGCTCAATATTGATGATCCATCGATTCAAGCTCACCGCTTTGGAGGAAGGTTATGCTCCGCCTCTTTCACCGACCGAAAGTTTTGGGACATTATCTCCGAAGTTGTGGTGGTGGTTGAGTGTTAAGTTCGTGAAATTAGTGTACCATGTTTAGGTCAAATGAGGAGTTGGAGGGACAGAGGACGTCGAAGTGGATGCTCACTGACGTCATCGCCTTTCCTGACCCTGAGTGCCGAGGGACATGTCAACTTTTTTGCCTTCCGCCAATCACAGGCCAGCCTTGTTATAATATTGCGGTGCTTTGAACACTGCCCCGCGTCATATGAAAATGTTTATGGCTTCTTTGTACGCGACGTATCCCGCAGAACAGGTCACTGCCCACTCAGCTGTCCGTCCATCGCGGGAACACGGCACAAGCCTAGTCACACCATTGCCTATTCTCTTTGGCAGCCATCGACTCGCCATGTTCCCTCTGCTCACGACCCGCATCATATATTCTTTTTGTTTCGATTCCATCCGACCCTCCGTTCCCTTTCTACGTTGGACCCGGATCTTTGCGGTGGAGTCGGCACTGCTCTCCCAACTGAATTTGCCGAACCTGTGCTGTCATCCTATTATATAACGCGACTCCTTCCATTCACTTTACCTCACACAAGTATCAGCCAAGCGTCTCACAGTACAAATAGTCCTCTCAGTACAACTAGTGTCTCTCAACCCATCCAACATGAAAATCTCGGTTGCCCCTCTCTTGACTGTTCTCGCCCTCGGTCTTTCCGCCGCAGCCCAGGAGATCGAGTTCCTCCAGCCTACTGATGGTCAATCACTGACCGCCGGACAGAATGTCACCATCCAAATAGGCCAGCCCTGTACGTGACCACGGGTCATCCCTAGCCTTGCCACTGATCAAACCACCCACAGTGCAACTTTCTGGCTTTGTGAATGCTGCCATCTCTTTCGGTTGGGACCCATGCCACACTGGCACGGACGGCACCGTGACCTGCCCAAACGTTGCCGCTCCGAACGCAGGTGTTGGAGATGTGATTGGGACTTTCGTCTTTCAGCCTCAGCCTCCCCTTGTCGCTGGCATGCCACCCAACGAAAACTTTACCATTGCAATCCCAAGTTTCGCCAAGGGAACACGGGGTGTCCTCAGCGCGACCTTATTCTACTTCGAAACCGTACGTGTCCTTGTCATCGATAAAGCAGCGAACTGACGATGATTCCAGGCTGACCTTACACCAGAGTTCCTGGTGGCGAACATCACGCTGAATGCCGCTTGAGCGCTAACGTTACGTCGATGCGGATTTCTTTTAGTCTCTCCTACATAGCAAGGACTTTTGTAGTATATCTATTTGTGTCGTACCCAATACAGACCGTTTGGATCGCACGAAATGCAATGCTATTCACATCCATTAGTAGGAAACCATTACAATGAATGCAGCTAAGGACACAGAAATATGGGAATGGATGAGGACATGTCGATCCTCTCGGCGTCCTCTCCATTACTACAAAACCGACACGGCTCAACACGTCATTGATACCGTTTGGCTACGCGGTATTCCGTAGAACTATCACCTAGATGTCAGTAATCAAGCGCTGTATCTGCATTACTCTTACTCACCCAGGATTACTGAATCTCCCCTGTAGAGAGCGGCAACGTCAGAAGACGTTCCAATTGAGCATGATATGAGATACGTACCGAAGGAACATTTTGCTGATGAACCTGTCTTTGTTTACGGGCTTCTTCCCCTTGCCTTTTGGAACCTCGGTCCACATCTCCTTCACGTTTTCCAGAACCTGAAAGATAAATTCAATAGTGCCCTGTTCTCAAATAATAAAGCACGTGCCATGTTTGTATGCCGGTCAAAGGCCTTCACTCTCGCCAAGAGCTTCCTGTTGTTCCTCAGAGAAATTAGGATCTGGGTATGATTGCGGACAGATTGCTGAAGGACTGAAAGCGGGCCTTGGCTGATTTCATACTCCTCCAGCTCGCGTAGTTGCGCCTCGTCCAGCTCGGACTTTGGTGTTTGAGCGTATTGACTGAAGTTCTGCTATCAGTTTTTGACATGTGCTGAATGGCAATACTCACCTCATTGATGATACAGAATACGGTAGACGATGACAAGGGACTGAAAAAGTATAGAGTGGCGAACTCTGCTGGACTTTCCCCGCGTTCTCCGCGGGCCAAACAGTGCCGCAATCAAGTCCGGTGTGCGAACACAAATGGTTTCGTCACCGTCGTCCGAACGAAAATGTCCTCGACGACTCTGACCGAAATCCCCGTCCTCCGCAGCGCTCAACCACCATGACGGCTATGAAGTTGGCTGTTATGGGCGCTGGACCCTCTGGTTTCTATGCAGTGTCCAGGATATTGGCCTCACTTCCTCTCATGTCGTATCCAGACTTGCAGGTACACATGTATGACCGTGTCCCGGCGCCTCACGGTCTGGTGCGCTATGGCGTTGCTCCAGATCACCCTGAAGTAAAGGTGCGCAGACGGGCAATTTGATGTTTGTTTGTCCTGATCTAGTCTGCAAGAACTGTGTCGGCAAATTCGATCATGCTGCACAAGACCCGCGGTTCCGCTTCTTTGGCAATGTGCTGGTCGATCCTACATGCACGTCGTCTTATCAATATCCCAAAGCCGTCCCACTTCCCTTGGGCTTGATGTTTCCATATTACACGCATTTTCTTTTCGCCCAGGGTGCTTCACAACCGTTGACGCTATCTACACTCCCCGAAGCTACGCCGGGCCTTGCTCTCGTGCACTGGTATACAGGGCACCCTGCCGCACCTCCCACTCCGCCAATACCAATCGATGCAATAAACCATCTCAGCATCATTGGGCACGGCAACGTGTCCCTTGATATTGCTCGACTTCTTCTCCGTGACCCCGCTTCTCTTGAAGTATTCGAAGATTTGCCGCGGCACGTGTTGCAACAGCTAGAGAAGTCAACTGTGAAGCATGTCACCATTGTCGGGCGACGAGGCCCAGCACAAGTCAGCTTCACTGCCAAAGAATTGCGGGAGCTTATGGGTCAGCCGGATGTTTCTTTCGAACACGTTGACCGCCCACTACTGAACAGCGCCAGAACTGATAACGAATTGGATCGACCAATGAAGCGAATACTCGACATCATTTCGAAGGGCTCTAAGGTAGCGTGGGGCACCAGTGAGAAGTCTTGGTCACTACGTTTCCTTCGATCTCCCCTTGGCTGCAATCCATCGAAGAAAGAATTACGACTTGGGTGCAACACTCTGACACCGCATGGGCAGGCTGAGGCGAGTGGAAAAGAGGAAGTCGTGAACACGGACGCGGTGGTTTCGAGCGTGGGATATCGCTCCGAGGTCTCATCAGGATTGCAGCCCTGGTTTGATGATGCTACAGGACGGATTCGCAACTCGAACGGAAGAGTCACAGATTCACTTGGACACATTGTACGTGTGAAGTTCGCTGTCCTGGGATGTGTGACCGAACCAGTTTTCGCTCTAGGTGAGAAACTTATACGCAACAGGGTGGGCAGCAACAGGAGCACGCGGTGTCATTGCTGCGGCAATGCAGTCGGGATATATGGCTGCCGACAATGTTTTGGCTGATCTGCAAGGACATGTGGGGGACAGTGTACCGTCGCCGTTGCCGTCTGAACCTCTGGATGGCCTGCCAGTTCCAGTCGACGCCGCTGAAGATCGAATTACGGATTACAATAACTGGCGGACTAAGATCATGTAGTCTAATTCAGTTCTGTCTGTATCATCTGCCATATTGCGCGACCAGTTTCACAACTCAGACTTTCTAGCCTTTGAGCATCGTGAAGGTTTCCTTGCTCTGCTGCAGAGCCGCAATTTCAGCTTCCAAGACTCGTAACTTTGATATGTTATTCGAGGCACGAAAGCAGTAGGAATAAGAGAGACGAACCCTTTCAGTGTTGGCCTCGCGGACCTGTTCGGGGATGGTTGTTTCATAATCCGGCTGAGATTGAGCTTTACGAACTTTGTTTGCATTCAATTCAGCTACATCGAGCTTCTTCTGTGCCTTGGCAATTTCTGCGTCTAAGTCCACGACGCCCTGTGTTGGATATCAGAGAGATATCACAACTCCAAGGAAGGTGGTATGCTAACCCTGACGAGGATGTGTACCGTAACATCCGCAGTTACGACAGTGGAACCGCAGCCAAGTGGGATTTCTTGTTGAGAACCGACGATTTCGATGGACTTGCATCCTTTGGTTAAGGCCAAGATAGTTGGAGTTTGCTCCTTGAACACCTCTGCTATTCTAGAAGCAGTTACGTGTATATGGGCTGCTGCCGTGTAAGGGATACAGCATGTTTCAAGGAAAACCAGGGCGTACTGTAGATATTCGACATAAGACTGTATTGTGCGGCCAATGACCGAATAGATTTGATAGTTGAGAAAACCAAGTCGAAGTCATTCTCAGCTTCCGCGAATATGAATGCAGGATCCTTACAAGTAGGTTAACATTGTCGAGGCACAAGGAATCTGATTGGCTTACTGGCAGTGGATAAGACGATACCATAATTGAAGGCGTCTCATCTCTCGGCCGACGTGGCAGTCTTTGCCAGAGCTCCTCTGTAATGAATGGCATGAATGGATGCAGCAGTTTCAACGCAGCATCCAGACAAGTATACAGCGTGTCCTGTGCCGATCTGCGTGTCGTCGCTGAGGCGCTCTCGTCCGTCATGGGTTTCATCGCCTCCTGAATATCCCCCTCTTCATCAGTGATCGAGCTAAACCGACGACAGAACACACTGACAATATACACGTCACACAATTCATACAACCAAAAATTGTAAACAGCGGTAGTTGCCAACATGAAGCTGCGATCCTGAAGATATTTGTTGACGTCGGAAGCAGCGGTATGAAGTTTATTGAGAATCCACTTCTCCACGGTTGACTCGTGACCCGTAGGCTAGTAACCGTCAATCTCCGAACCAAGTTTTCTCGATATGTCTCACTTTATCAGTCGGTTGGGGTACAAAGCCCTCCTCGAACTTTAGCATAGCAAACTTCGTGGCATTGAAAATCTTGTTGCAGAATTTGCGATAGCCCTCAATACGCAGCACCTCGAGGTTGATATCTCTCCCTTCGGCATCAATCAGTCACTTCTCAGAGCTGACGAGACAAATAAACAATATACCGAAGGTTGTGTAGGCGCACAATGCGAAGCGCAAAGCATCCGTTCCGCACTGGGGTATTCCATTTGGAAAATCCTTTTTCTGACCAGCTATCGCCTTCTGGATTTCTCTCTCGTCCAGATTACCCCCATATAGCTGCTTGTGCAAGTTCTCCAGAGAAATGCCCTCGATAACATCCACCGGATCAATGACATTACCGAGACTTTTACTCATCTTGCGACCATGAGCGTCACGAACCATGGCATGACAAAACACCTCGGAGAATGGCATTTTCCCTGTCAGGTGTACTCCCAACATAGCCATACGAGCTACCCAGAAGAACAGGATGTCCCAGCCAGTTTCCATAAAGGTGGACGGATAGAAAGCTCTGAAGTCGTCGGTCTTGCATACTACGTCAGAACCTGCACAACACGTCCTCGTCGTCACCTTACCTGATTGGGCCACCCTTGAATGGAGAAAGGCCACAACCCGGAAGAAAACCACGTGTCCAACACGTCCTCGTCTTGTTCCAAGGTGAATGGCCTTCCCTCTGCAATGTCGACGGCCTTCTCTTTTGCTTCTTCCACAGATCGGGCCACCACCCAATTCTTTCCATCGGAAGTCTGATAAAATCCTTAGAATACGGAGGTATCAAAGCCAATGCATGTTCTCACATCTTGGGCAACCCCTTCGACATTAACGAAGTATGCCGGACAGCGGTGCCCCCACCAGAGCTGGCGCGAAACACACCAATCTTGGATATTATCCAGCCATCGGAACCAGTCACCTTCTGAACTCTTTGGAGAGATTTGCAATTCCCCCTTCCGAGTTCTCTGTCAAGGTAATATCAGGTCTGAATGGGAGGCACGGAGATCGCAAGTGCATCCATACTTCAAGCACAGGATCAGCAAGAGCCTTGCTATTGACCCACCACTGTGGCTTCATCACGGGTTCAATAATGTCACCGGATTTGCTTGTGCCCCGATTCAGCAAATGCTATGCAGGAGTGCGACACACACACCTGCAAACAGGTACAGTCATAGGATTGTCCTTGGTCTCGATATATAATCCTTTCTCCTTCAAAGCATTAACTACAGCTACGCGAGCGTGGAAGCGTTTCATGCCCTGGAAGCGGATGAACTACGCAAACTGCGCCCACATTAGAAGTGCGTACCGTGAAATCCCCCGCATTCTCATTGAAGGTGCCATCGTCGTTCAGGATGTTGATGAATTCAAGATTGTGCCTCTTCCCAACTTCGTAATCGTTGGGATCATGCGCCGGAGTGATCTTGACGGCACCGGTTCCGAATTCCATGTCGACAATAATGCTATCAGTGATGATGGGTACACGTCGCTTCGGAATGAACGGATGGGATACGAATCTGCCGTGCAGATGCTAACAATTTCATTAGTCGTTTGCCACGCTCTACCAATCCTAACTCACCGTATAGCGCGGATCATCAGGATGAACGGCAACCGCTGTGTCACCAAGCATGGTTTCCGGACGTGTAGTTGCCACAATGATCTTTTCATTCGATCCTTCAATTGGATAGGCGAAAGACGTGATGACACCAAACTCAAAACGCTCTTTCTCATCATATCCAGGAACGGCCAAGAGAGTCCTCCCATTGAGCTGCTTTTGGTCCACCTGCAATAAGTAGGTAAGCAGCCGTTAAGTGAGGAAAACTAGAACACTCTAGACCTCGAGATTAGACAGCGTCGTGTTCAGGCGAACACACCAATTCACCAGACGATTTGCACGATACAATGTACCTTCCTCATGTAGGCGACAAAACGTCTCAATAACCGCTCGAGAGAGATTCTATAAACAATAAAGTGTTACTCAATGGCCGGTCGGTTGTGCGCTTGAAACCCACGTCATCCATGGTAAAAGCTTCGCGACTCCAGTCGTAGCTACCACCCAGGCGCCTAAGCTGGCTCTTGATACGCTCTTGATAACTTCCATTTGGTTAGCGGACTTCATGGCATGGCAAGGAAGATCAACCCACTGGTTTCTCCACTCCCATACTTGTTTGATGAAGTCTTCACGGCCAAAATCATGCCTTGTTTTCCCAGTAGATTTGTACAATCGTCTCTCAACAACCGCTTGGGTGGAAATTCCTGCATGATCGAATCCGGGAACGAAAAGAACAGTCTTGCCCAGCATACGATTCCTGGTGAAGTATTACACTGGAAGAGGTACGAGATCAGACGTATCCGTACCATCTAGACACAGCATCCTGGATGGCTACCATCAAGGCATGCCCCAAGTGGATACTACCTGTGACATTTGGGGGAGGCGAAGCGATAACAAATAAGCCCTCTGGTTTGGGCTTTGCATCGGGACCGAGCACAGGGAGGAAAAAGCCTTGCTGGTCCCACCAGTCGTACCAGGCACTCTCTACGGCGATAGGATTGTAACCGCTGCCCATGGGCTTGGACAAATCTACCCAGTGGTGAGCACATCAATAGCGGCGCTCTTCGTAGACGCGCCTTTCTTCTCGCCAGAAGGTGTGGTGTTGACAAACTCTTCATCCTCGACTTTCGCCTTCTTCTCCTTTACTTTCTTTGTTGTCGTCTCAGCGATGGCGACTTGAGGCGCCTTAGCTTCTTTCTTCGCTAATTTTTCAAGACGCTTTGCCTCCTTCTTAGCTAAGTATGTGTATCAGCACCAGATGTGTTGCGACGAGGCTGTCTGGCGAACCTGCACTCTTCGTCTGGGTGCCTTCGGCGGGCCGGCCCTCTTGTGCGTTCCCCGTGGCTTCCCCGCTGGCCTGAGTCATTGTTCTCCGAAATTGATATCTACAGGTAGAGGATGTAACAATCCTGATGTGGTGGACTTGTTGAGTGACTCTGCTTAAACTAAGCATGCACAGGCGTTAGATAGGTGATGCATGACTGAGTCAGACCAGACCAATATTTAGTACAGCCACTAACTAACCAAGGGTTAGGGGTCATACCCAAAACTGCAAAACATGTTGACTAGCTTCCTCCTATGCCTCGTGACGTAGAGCCTTCCATAAACCAGCGCGATTTTATCTTCTCTGCCATACAACAAGGTCTCAGGGTTGACGGGAGGTCCCCCCTTCAAGCAAGGAAGACGACCATTCGATTCGGAAATAGTCTGGGCTGGGTAGAATGCTCCATTGGGGAGACCCGGTGAGCGGTAATTAGGAGGGCCAGCCGCAGTTCCTAACGACTGCACAGAGTGGTCGCGCAAATCAGCGCTACAGTCACACGCCCATATTTTGATCGGCCGTTCGAAGGCATTATTGTCATCCATACGGAGTTTTCACCAATGGCTTCAAGTGCATACGAGACTGGCAGGTTCATTTGGTCTTGATCTATATTCTAACGTCCGAAACATTGAGCGCGATCTCAGACCTTCAGAAGAGGAAATCACAATGGCTCGCATACTTGAAAAGACTATCAGACGCAGTGAGGCGTTGGATCGAGAGGCATTGTGTATCTTAGCAGGGCAGAAGGTCAGTGTCCCTCATCGTGAGACAAACACTAAAATCGTTCGTGGGCAACAGGTATGGACCCTCCGTCTGACGATTCAATTTCTTGCGGACGAAGGCAATCTCCTGGATTGTGCATGCATGGCGGCTATGGCAGCATTGCGACACTTTCGCAAGCCAGAGGTGGAAGTCGTGGGGGATGAGGCCACCATGGTAAGCACAACAGCCGACTTAGTACAAGGAATGAGCCTGCTCATATTCCATCAGTTCTCTCCTGAAGAAAGGGCACCTGTGCCCTTGGCACTCCACCATCAGCCATTATGTGTATCCTTCGTATCTCTCGGCCCCCGGTACGCCACGCCTTCTGCTAATATCGGGATAACTTGGCTAACATTCCTTAAACAGTAATACGCCTGTAATGGACCCTTCGCGCCTAGAAGAACAATTGGCACACGGTAAAATGACTATCTCCCTGAATGCGCAGAAAGAGATTTGTGTGCTGCAGAAGGCCGGAGGTGTTGCACTGCCTGCAGATGAAGTACTACATGCTGTCAATGTTGCTGTTTCAAGAGTAAGAGATATGAGCGACCTCCTGAATAGATCATTAGAGGAAGATAGTCGGACACGTGTAATAGAAGTACGATAGTCGATCCCGTGCTGGTTCGATGATAATCACGTCGCCATCTCTACCAGGTTTACCTAAGGGTCCCTGATTGACGTTGCTGTTGTTTACAATAACAAACCATGTGTTCAAACTCAATTCCTCCAAACTTTATCCTTCACAATCTACCACATACATTGTTATCACTTCTCGCTGACCACCCAATTTCCACGCATAGCACCTGGACTTTAGGGCAATGGAATCCTCTTGGTAATCCTGCACCCCTTGTTGGAGTAGAGAAGCGCTCATCAGAAACCCCAGGATTGAGTTCATTGGCTCTCTGGTGATGACTTCTCTAGTAGTAGGCGTGGTTGTCGGGGCTATCTACATCTTCCGCACTATCTCGGTCACCATCGAGTACGATCCTCTTGACTAGAACACGGACGCGTTACTGAGAGGACGGCGTAGGAAAACGCGGAACGATCTTCGCAGCCGAGGAGTACACATTTCCGACAGCGGTGTTCAAATCAAAACCAACAAACATTATAATCATGAGGACTATATTGACGCAACACAACGGTGAGGATAGCCTTTCCTACAAACTAGTGGTGAACAATCTCACATTACGATGAAGAGCCTTCACCGCCGGTATGGATCCCATGGCGAAGGCATCATCCTTCAAACGCGTTGATCCTGATGCCGGGCGAGAAAAGCGAAACCCGACATCTTGACTGTCGCACACGGAGGCCGATGTAATGGTCTCTGTCGTAGGGAATAATTGCCGCGGTCATCCTTATAACTCTGTTACATGATCCAGCACCAAGGAGTCTGTAAATGATGCAACATCCATCTGACATCGGAGATTAACCTGTGGAGCTTTCCTGGGGATATGCTACTGAGCCATCTCGAGGCCACTCAACTTATCTGCAAGCGCAAATTTACCAAATCGGCTTGTTGCTTCATTTTTCTTCGCCTGCTTTAGAGCTTTGCGTAGCCTGGCTCGGTTTAACGGATTCGATGACCCCAGAGTGGAGATCTCGTGCGCGTCGATGCGGAATTTCCGTTCTTCCCCAAGCTTCAGGCGCTTCATTGCGGGCTGGATGAGCAGCATGGATTTACTTTGTAGTCGAACATCCACATCCTCTTCAGAAGAAATAGATGCTGAACGTGCACGTTTTCGTTCTGAAGGACTGTTCGGACGTGAGGAGTATATGTAAGGGTGAAAGGGCGGGACGCACCATAATATTCCGGGCTGCGGCTTCTCTTCCAAGGAAACAGATGTTTTCTCTTTCGTCATAAACCCATACTCTGGCCACTGAGTTTGATTTCCGAACACCTCCTTGTCCGCGTCATTGAATAGCCCGGCAAGATCGAAGGGAGCGCTCCACTCCTTCACGATAGATGCTTGACCGACATCAGTTGATACAGTTGTACCTCGATGTGCTTGCACAGGTGCGTCTGAAGGTTTGGAGGACGGATGTACTTTCGGTGGCTCTGTATGATATAGGATCTTGCCTGTATTCCAATCTCGAAGGACGATACGTGCAGCGGACTTCACATCTGGTCTCCCGCCCTACACGTTGATCATACCAGTCAGACACTACACTATGCAAACAAAAGAAAAGCATGCCTTTCCTAAACGGCCTCTGGTTAATGCCAACATGAGCAAGAACTCATTGGAGTCCTTATAGGCAGGGATTTGATAGAGTTCTCGAAGATAGTCGTGTTTACAGCGAGAGACAATGACACCCACTGATGGTACGTCAACAGATGAGGAGAACTGTGATTTTTCTGCTGACCTGGGGTGATAGGATCTTCCACCAGCTCCACCTTTACAACGTTCCTTAGCAGGATCTCCGCCTCATTTCTGACGTTAGCCTCCTTCGACTCTCCATCGCGCAAGTCAATACCCGTGGCAAAAACTATCCCTGGGCAGTCAAGTAGTTTGACATTCTTGTCCAATACAACCTCCTGCGCAACCTTAGTATGACCAGGAGTTGCAGCGACCCCACAAACACGAGAGCGTTTCAGAGAGTTGATGACAGATGACTTTCCGACGTTGGGAAAGCCAACTATGCCAACTGTGACAGAGGTTTTCAAGTTGGAAGAGCGGGAATAGTTCTTGAGCAATTGGATCAGCGATTCAGCACCGAGACACTCTGATGAAGAATGTTGGATCGAGTTCACTCCGCCTCCTCTTTGCGCAAGGTTGGCTCGTTGTTCTTGCGTGGAACACTTGAATGCAACTGTAGGGAAGTCGTGTCGCAGGTATTTCAGCCAAGCCTCCACATTTTCGCGAGGCACGAGATCTAGTATATGTTAGACTGTGCTGTGATATGGGTGTGCGGGAATACACACCGATCTTGTTTATAACCAAAATCAGTCTTTTACCCTCACCGGCCTTCATGCGAACTGCCGTCTCCACCACTTTGCTCCTTGAACCCAAAGGGTCTCGCGCATCAAGAACTTGAATTATAACATCTGATAACTCCAGAACTTTTCTGAATTCGCGCATGTATGCTTTGAGTGAATTATCGACTCGGCCGAGGGAAGCATCGATGGGATGAGCAAGGCCATCACCCTCGTTCACCGTGCTGTTGGAGGAATCGTCGAAATCCGTGGGTGTAACATCGAAGTTCTAAGGTAGATTTATACATTGGCATTAGAGCACGGGATGAGGAGCGCACTTTGGGAGTGTTTTGATGAGCAAGGGGAAATTTAAAGACTCCAGGATCTTTCTTGAGCACTAGAGGACAACATCAGATGGATTGGAAATCTTAGTTGCAATGTACTTACCTTTTGGTTGCGGTATTTCTTTCAGCTTACGATTTCCATGAGACTTTGCTAAGAGTATTTAGTTATGGACCTGTGAACGAATCGGCGCACTGACTAACCCATGATGGTTGCGCGAAATGAAGACTTGCAAGCGGCCGTGCGACACTTGACCCTGCGCAGTGGCGGTCCCCTGACGTGTTCCACCAACAACTCATTTTTGGAATCAAACGTCTTGTGGAGGACATAACACTTACTATCGCAGGAATGGTATGATCTTGTGCCTTTGGAATCTGAAAATATGCTCAACTGTCCCGCGTAGGCACCCTCCACCGAACCGGTGGTGATCGAGACGGCGCACGAAGATATGATTGTACGCATGCGTGGTCAATGGTTGTTGCATGACGCGTTTGACCGCAGATAGCACGATGCGCAGTTGGACTATTATGGGAAACGGCTGGCAACATGCTCTTCCGACCGTACTATTAAGATATTTGACGTAGTGGACGGGGAGCCACAGAAGCAAGGCGAGGTGTTGCAAGGGTGAGCTCCAATAGACGTTTCCCAGGGGCCTCAACTGACCTTATCCGTCAGTCACACTGGTCCAGTTTGGCAAATAGCTTGGGCGCATCCGAAGTACGGAAACATACTTGCATCTTGCTCTTACGATGGTCGTGTGTTTGTGTGGAAGCATCAGCCTGCCCCGCCACAACAACCTTCTTATGGTGTGCCGGGAGGAAGCACCTCGCATTGGACTAGAATTAAAGAACACAATCTCCACACCGCGTCCGGTCCGTCTAAAATAAACGTACACCCTGCTGTGCACTTATCTGTGTTATTCTAGTCAATTCTGTCTCATGGGCACCTCACGAACTGGGCCCCATCCTTGCATGCGCCTCCTCTGATGGTAGACTCTCTGTCTTGACCTTCAAAAGTAGGTGTAGATCTCTGTTTTCCAGGAGAGAGGTGTTTCTAACAAGTTCAGATGATGGCACTGCAGATGCCGATATATTCAGCGCTCATCCTATTGGGTGCAATGCTGTTTCATGGGCGCCAGCAACTGTACCTGGATCTCTCACGGCAGGCGCGACGCCGAGCCAGCCGCAATATATCCGTCGCTTTGCGAGTGCTGGCTGCGACAACCTCGTTCGCATCTGGGCCTTCAAGTGAGTGTCTGTCCTACGCTCGAGCAAGCAACTGAACCACCAATCCAGCGACACGAATGGCACATGGAAGGAAGAGGCCAAGCTGGAAGGGCACACAGATTGGGTTCGGGATGTTGCCTGGGCGCCTAATATTGGCCTTCCTCGGCAATACATTGCCACTGCTTCGCAGGTACGCTTTGCAGGCCCCATCATGCCAGGCTAGACCATTTATACTTCTCTCAGGATCGAACTGTTCTGATTTGGACGCAAGATAGTCCGCAGGCACCTTGGAACAAAGTGGCCCTCGACCCTTCTGGATCCACGCATACAGCATCTAGTCACAACGCGAGCAAGTTTCCAGATGTCGTTTGGCGTGTGTCATGGAGTTTGGCGGGGAATATCCTCGCAGTCAGCTGCGGTGACGGCAAGGTATCCTTGTGGAAAGAGAACCTCAAGGGTTTCTGGGAGTGCGTCAGTGACATGACTAGTTAAACCTGGCAATGTTTGAGTCTGCACGTTTGTCCCGTGCAATTGAAACATATTTGTCCGATGCAATCGAGACATGTTTGTCCCTTCGCCCATATAGCCCGATATTTCCATGTAAGGGAATTATTGAACGCGTTGTCTCCGTTACGGAACCAGATTTGGTCCCGCACGCCAAGACCCGTTCCTATAGCTATAGATATTATTGCGTCCTCAGTTTTGAGCTCATGGATAGAGGTTTGAGACTCTTGTCTACAACAGTCATTAAGTGAAGGTGTGCCTTTGAGACTGGTTTTTGCGTGGTTGGACATCGACTGCGAATAAGGTTTTGCTTCCGTTTGTCCCAATCGAAACTTCGTCCATATAGCCGAACGTTTCCATATAAGGGAATTATTAAACGCGTTGTCTCCGGCACGGAACCGGCTTTGGTCCCGAACGCCAAGACCTGTCCTATAGCTATAGATATTATTGCGCCCTCAGTTTTGAGCTCATGGATGGAGGTTTCAGACTCTTGTCTACAACTTTTATTAAGTGAAGGAAGGTGTGCCTTTAAGACTGTGGTTTTTGCGTAGCTGTACATCGACTCAGAATAGGTTTTTGCTTCCGTTCGTCCCACGCAATCGAAATTGTCTCCGTTGCGGAACAGGCTTTGGTCCCGAACGCCAAGACCTGTCCTATAGCTATAGATATTATTGCGCCCTCAGTTTTGAACTCATGGATAGGGGTTGCAGACTCTTGTTTACAACTTTTATTAAGATGTGCCTTTAAGACTCGTTTTTGTGTAGTTGGACATCAAAATACCCATACTGCTGCTTACTACTTGTCTGCAGGGCAGTATGACATAGAGTGAAAGAAAAGAGTGCAACTCCAACATTATCAGGCACTCAGGTCTGAAAATAGTGGCAGTATTGTACAATGCTTTTGGCATGCGCTCTAAGGGGCCATGTTTGACCTTAGCTAAGCTAGCAAATGACTGGAATGCAAAGGACTGCACAGCATGAAACCACTGGAAGCAAAACCTTTCTGAGTTGATGGGTGATTGTATTGTAGTAGCCCAACCTGTTGAAGGGTAATTCCCAATCTAAGAGAGTGCCATTGTTCAAGCAGGAACCAGCTTTGGTTAGATACAATGCCAATGTGTGTGGGTCACCTACATGCTCTGGGACATGGACATGGGATTGGTGCTCATGCCTACTCATCATACCTGATAAGACTTCTGCAGGGGATCACAGGCTTGATAAATTTTCAGCATCCTCTGGTCTTCTTACAACTTGTATAACAGCCTGTAAGGCAGCCTGAATTGTGGCTGTGTCAATATAATAACTGAATCAATATTAGGATTGACTTTGGACCAGAGCACAAGGTACAGTGTGCTCATGTAGAAAGACCGATTCCAATTCCAGGTAGAGATAGCCACCTTGAAAAATAGGTGACATAAGCAAATATTAATGAGCCATTGCATGGAAGACCTGGTTCTATTCAGAGTTTGTAGAAGGCTTGATTTCTTTGTGCCACTTAAATCCACCTGATATCCCCCTTCTGTGCAATCCTGGATGAATAAAAAATGAACTGCCAAGCAATCATATTCTACAGAGTAAATGGCACATGGCAAGAGATGGCAGGCTCCAACATTGATGAAAATATTGTAGAGTCAACAAAGGTGAGTCAGCAATGTTTACCCTTGTTTATAGGCTGTCACCAGATGCCACCATTATTTGTAGCAAGCTCATGCTGCACAAATTAATGCACCACTTTCTCTACTTCCATGCTTTGTCCTTTGCCATTAGCATCTGGAATGTCGGCATTTGGAGAGAGCTGGTAGCATCAAGGAGGTCAGACTTAAAAGACACTGGCAGACAAGGGAAAGTAAAGGTAAATCATCGAATGTCTGAGTGCCTTGACATCAAGGTTTTGTTTTTCTCCTCCTGGGCCCCTATTTGTGGATGACCTGTCAAGCATTGTTGTACCTGCTGCATGGACATATACAGGGTCCATTCACAAATAAGTCTTTGGGACCTCCTGAGAATTGTATACACAAAGATCTGGAAAAGACATCTTCCTCTAGCTATTTCAACCATGTAATTTCGTTTTTTGGATGTCATCCTAAGTTGGGTAGGGATTTTTTTTTGGACATCACTCTAAGTTGGGTAGGGAATTTCCCTTTTTGGACATCACAACTGATTTGGCCATGCAATTTCCTTCTTTGGACATCATCCTAAGGGTAGGGAATCTCTTTTTCTGGAAGTCTCACATTGTCAGGGCACCAGCTCATTGCTTGGTCAAGAGACATGACTAAGCCTTTATGACA